TCATCCCGTGCCCGCTTTCCTAAGGAGAAATAAGCAAGATACAAGATCAGTTTAATCGCCTAGTAGGTTGTCAACAGAGACAACATTGGACATGGTGCAGGCAGGGACATTGTACAAAATGCAGGTGTAAAGTAGAAGATAAGATAGGATCAAATAATATCAAATAAATATCAAAGTGCCCTTATTTATTGTTTTGTGCTTAATGTATGCTTGAACTTTGTTTTATACGGATTAGTGGACATCAGTTAGATGCGTAACCTTCTTTCAAGGCCAGAGTAGTTACAGTGTAAGTGGATTGACATCTAACATAACATGGCTGAGTACAATTATAACAATCAATAAAAAAAAGGAAATATAAATTGAATTTCAATTACATTTTTACTTAAATGTGCAAAATATTAGAACATCAGTCTTTGTGGCATGCAGGTAATCAACTGTTTAAGCTTTTACCATTAACATGTAGAATGAATGTTGCAAATGACTCGTGAAATTATAGCAACTACAATGTATTGTTAGAGGTAGCATTATGTCCAGCTAGCATGCTAATTGCTAACGTTATATTATCGTTTTATCCCGGAGGGGAAAGCTAACTAGTTTCCAATCCAGAGAGAAATACCTCGCCTGAAACACACGATTAGTGCCATGAGTTAGTGAAACAAATTACAGAACATTGCACACTTATTCACAAGTCAAAACGTTTTTATAGCGGCTGAGAATAGCTAGCGAGCTAGCTAGATGTTATTAGCTAGCTCGGTTCCGGCCTACTAACAGTGTTACCCAATTCAACCTAGCATTGCTAACTCGATCTACCGAGCAAATAAAAGTACATCTGAGACCAGTATTGTGCAGATTAAAACAATGCATTGCATGTATTTTATTTTACCTTCCCGGCATGACTGCGCTGTGGACGGTTTTCCAGGTCTGCTAACTTTACTGAACCACGGACATTGCCTTCAGTAGAAGCTTCTGGATCGCGTCCTCCGAGTAAATCGCCTGAAGCGCCGACACATCCTCATCACTCCACCGCTCCGATGATTTATTTGGTGTTGCTATAATAACTGCTTTCACAAAAGTAATCTCTTCGGGTGCGCTGCCCGAAGCGAGCAAATACAATGGCCGCTTAAAAAAATGTTTTCAGTCAAACGGGCGTGATTTGCATTCCGCACAGCCAATCAGACGTATGAACTTTTTTCTCCCACGTAAGTCCCTGCTCTCGAGCAGGGACTGAAAACGGTGTAAAAATGGTTCTGATGAACTAATTTAGTTCCTGGGGCTTTTTGGTGTGAATGCAAATATATCGTAGTTCTGATGAACTATTGTGGGAAAAGTACTCCGGTGTGAACGCGCTAAATGTCTTTCCATTTAGTTCCTGATACTGCAACACATTTCAACTGACAAAGAGAAATTACAGAACGGTGTACCAGACTTGGATATGTTTTTCTAAAACAATGTCTTCTAACTAAGCTTGAAAATAATTACTTTTGTATTTCTAAACTCAGTCTATTTTTTACACCTTAATATTGTGTATTGGAACTACTTCCACTCATCGTCTCACATTTTTTAAACTCTTTTCTCACTCTTAACCTCCTTGACATCAACCTGTGTGGCATTTGTAAATTGCTAAACAGCCTTTCTTAACACTCCCGTAAGATCCATAATAGGAATCTTTGTCTACGGTTTTCTGTTTTCTACCCTTTATTTGCTATAATTAAGACTTTGCACCCCTGTTTCACACATAAGCGATGCCACAAAGCAAGGTGGCTTGGTAACGGGACCAAACACAAACTCCTCTCTGTTTAAACATTATGTCACTGAGCTGCTGTTGAATGTGTCTGTTTACTGGGCTTTGTTTAATTGACGCTGAATTGCCGGGGCTGACATGGTAAACAATTAGGGTGAAATTCTGTCGCTTTAGCCAGTGTGAAACAACCCAAACAGATTCCAATCTTAACTCCCAAGACCTGACTCATAAGAGCCTAATCCTGTTGATGGAAACAGAATCCCACCCGTGTCAAAACGGCCCGCTGCCCCAGGTGCAGGAGCCACACAGGCCCTGGCTTGTCTCCCTTTATCACAGCTGATGAATTGAGAGGGCCCTCTTGGGCACATAGCCCAGGCTGTGGTTTGGCCAATTAGAGGGTCTGTTTTCTCATAAATATCTATAGTGATGAAAATTAGGCAAATAAAGGCTGTAGCTACAGCCTGGGAAAGTGTTAGATGCAAATTCGGACTGTAGAGCGACACTTTGAGAAAACTCTTTTTGATATGTTACTTTACAAATTCAATAATTTCCCAAGTTTCAAAAAGTGTGACTTTTGATGTGAACATTTCTTCATTTTCCTATAGCTAATTTACAAAACAATGTTGTAGATTATATGATGTTAGGTAATTTTTCTTCTACATTTCCAATGTTACCCCATCATCGTAATTCAATACATTCAACTGCAGTTAAGGCACATTAGGCATCTTTTAAGTACACTTTAACAGTTGATAATGAGATCAGGACTGATAGGTTATCTTTGTATCTTTGTGTCAGTAACATTTTCACAGCATGGATGGACCCGTAATCACATTGTCTTTACTAAGTCTTACTGATAGCTGTAAACAAAGGCTCAAGACCTCCACAGATAAGCTGTCTTCCCTAATGGTACATTTCGCATTCAAGCAGAAGATAAGCCCGATTTTGTAGCCTGACATCTGTGCCATCATTTCAGTTACCCAAGATAAGTGTTTCTCTCAATGGTCACCAGAATGTTCTTTTGTTAGATTTAAATGACAAAGTAAACTTCCATATCAGGATGATTGACCCACTCAAGTTTTGGCATATCAAATGAAAAGCAGACAGGAAGAAGATCACAAATGAAGTAAAAATGTGCAGGAAAGTATAGTAAAATAAAACATGAATATTTTTACAATAGAAATTCTCCAAAAAACAACTTAGAGGTGATATGAGCTTGATATACAGTATTCTGATTTCATTGGACTTTTGGTTGCTGCCTTTTAATAAGGCATATTTTAAAAAGAGTTTAGAGGCTGTAATAAAAGCTTGGTTATGAATTCATTTTTGTTTGGGTTGCTTTGTTGTAAAGAAAAATATGTGATTATAAACTCTGACATAGCTTGTTAAATGGACCACTTTTGCTGCAGGGCACCTGGGCCACAATCTATTAATTAACAGCTACTGAACATTAACAGTTCCAGATTTGGATTCTTATTCTAGTGATCGACAATTTTGTCAATGACATACTAACATTTACAGTTTAAAGTCGACTATGAGTTTACTTAAAGGGCCCATGTCATGCTTTTCCGGTTATTACCCGTCCCTTTGTGTGTTATGAAGGTTTTTATGCATGTAAACGGTGTGCAGAGTCACAAACCCTCAAAGTACACCCTGTAGCGAGTAAAACTCTAACACAGAAAATACCTCCCCAAAACGCCTCGTTGGAGATACGTCATTGTCCATTTGAGTCTTCCATTTCGTTCCGGGTACGGCATGATGTCAAGCCGTACCCGGAACGAAATGGACCAATCCGTGGAGCCGTTACGTTAAGCCCCCGCTGATTGGTCCAAATTGACCAATCCACGGACTTCCTAACACACACATCTGTGTGCAGGGAACAGGCAGCTCAGCTGATTTCTCCTCCCTGGCTGCAGGCTGATAACAGACAGTTGGGATCGCGGCGAAATTCTCTCTGCAGACCCATTCTCACAGCGTTTATCAACCTTTTTCTTACTCAATATCAAGCCACACTTATTGTTTTTACTTCGGCTGTAACTTTGTGTGTGCTCAGGATGAGTTTGGCTGTGTTTGGCTATGTATCCTAAACAAGGAAACAACACCTCCACGGAGCTCAGCGCGATTCACAACGTCCCGACCAATCAGAGCACACTGTGCTCACAGGGAGGGTGGGGGCTGGAGCTATTGGAGCTACAACGAGCCGTTAAAGGCAGAGAGTGAAATTCAGTGAATACACGTAGTTTACAGAGATGCTGTATGCGAAACCAATGTGAGTTTGGAAAATTGCACAATATAAATCTATTCTAGTAGACCTCAACAATGGAATTATGATCAGTGGAAATGGCCATGACAGGGGCCCTTTAAAAGTTTACTAACAGGTTCCAAAATCTAGAATTTCTGAAAAAAAAACTATAAAAAAAAGAAAACTTCTATACAAGCCATCACCTATTATACAGAAAAGTCCATTCACAGTTGAAGTGTACAGACTGTAAGTTTACACATCACACATCAAAACTCTGTATGATGTCACAGAGTTATGTTGGTGCATACGCGTGTTAAACATGTCTGACATTTGAGTTGAGCACAGAGGACCTTTCCCCTTCAGCAGAAGAATGTGAAAACAGCCTTCTAGTTTCAAACCCATTCATCATTCTGCACTGACGGTCGAATATCAAAGTGAAGTCAGAATTAGAAAAATACATTTTTGACTGAAAGGGGACTTTAAAAATGAATAAACCCCTCAATTACAACATGTTAATCCATAATGAACATTTTAGATAGTAGAATACATTTTCGCAAATTAAGAATCACATGATGCAGCTCCGGTCACATCCCTCCATCGTTCTGGCCTCTTGCAGCGTCTGGAAATATTCAGATCCAGTGTCACGCCATGACTTCAAAGCAGTGAGGTATCGACTGACTGACACACTTCATATCAGCCCCATACTTGAAGAGGGCCTGACTGTTATTGGAGCCCGCAGATATAGAGTTAATAAAAAAACACATTCTACAAATAAGTATAATCTAGATCAGTAATATATCAGATTTATGTACCAATGAAACAATAGCAACATCTGATATACCTTTTATCCAGTTAAGCAGTTTCATAGTGGAGAGTCTATTTAAAGTTCTGAAACGTTATGCCTCTGTTGGAGATGGTTGCTGTAAGAACGTTGTGAGTATTACGTGATCAGAAGCGTCGCTCTATATTTATCAAATCATGGGACTCACTCGAGGACATGCATCATGGTGCTACTAAGACCAAGGACTTCGTAGACCTTCACCTCTGCAGGGTCACAACTGAAGCACGACAGGTAGGAAACCTGCATGGATTTACAAGTACATATGCAGACAGCTAGAAATACAGAGATAATAAATACTTCCTGTTGCAATACTTCGATTTTTTATTTTATTAACTTTTGATAGTTTCATCTTTCTGACTAGTTGTTAATTGCTGCTCTGAAGATAGTCTGATTTTATTAGATAAGATCAGATTAAATCATATTAGATCATAACTAAAAAGTTACCCTTGAGTGGTGTCTTAAATTGTGCTGTAAAATTGTGTATAATTAAAATTGGCTTTTTGTTGATTTTAGTTATCTTGTGACAGTATTTGATATTCATCAAGTATTTTTAATTTTATGTTTCAAATATTACCTGAAAGAACAAAACATTTACTTTTATCAGTGATAACTTTTGAAATATAGTGCTTCTGTTTTGATTTTTTTCCAGGTTATATTCTACCCTCTAAGTCAAAATGGAGGACTTTGAATACAGTGTGGACATCTCTGATCGTGACTGGAAATGCTTTTTTGCTGAGTGCAAAGAGTGTAGCATACTTCCTCCTTCATTAGGTGTGGACGACTCAGGGATGAGTGACATTGATGATACAGGGTCCATTCTTGCTAAGAGAGTTCAGAAAGTCGACATAACAGCAAGCTTTTCAGAGGCTGACCGCCCCATCGATGGCCCACCAGACTGTGAGGGCTCTCCTGTGGAGCACTACCTCAGTAACCACACCATCGGTGGAATGGAGAGCGTGCTCTCGGGAAGTGAGGAGGACATACACCTGCAGTCTGTCAATATATTCTTTGAAAGGCTGAAAAGTCTTACAGAGGCAGAAAGGCTTATAGAGCCAAACCAAGAGCAAGATGGAAAAAAACAGGAGGCAATACAGGAGGAGGAGCGGAGTAGTGACGGGCAACAAGCCAGCAGCAGATTTTTGCCAAAACACATCCTCCAGTTAAGTTCTCTTCCTGCCAGCGGTGAAACAGCAGTTGGCAAAGAGACCACAAGTCCTGTCAACACCATTGGCAAAATAAACACAATGAAAAAAGACGTGCCTGGTCCAAACCTTTCCCCTAAACCTGCAGCCAGTATCGTAGTGCTCAAGACTAATAACTCAGCTTACCCCAAAACAGGTTCCTTCATCAGAGAGGAAGCCTGCACAGAAACCATAATCACCGAAGCAACACGGCTGAATCAGTCTCAAGACACACTGGAGGGGGTTTTATGCTCAGAAACAACACCTCACGCTGACAAAGTGATAAAGGCGGAAATGTGCACACTTCTGGATGATGTGAAGCAGGACGATTTGTTGATGAGTAAATTAAGTATCAGTAAAGAGTGTAGCACTGATCCTTCAAACAATCAAGAAATAGTGACACCAGTTAAACCGAATGTAAACCCAGAAGTTCTACAGTCAGACGCAACAACAGAAAGCCAAGAATTGTCTCCATCTGCTTCTTTCAAAAGAAAAAGACGGAGGAAGAGACGAGTTAATGTTGAGCCAGCTGATATTGGGCATAAATATGAGATGCAGGAGTTAGTGAAGCCGAGTGACTCAGAGGAGGAACAGGTCGCGTGGAGAGAAATAACTAGTTTCTGTTTATCTGAAAATACTAATTTATCTTTAAACCAACCACAAAGAAGTGTTTTATCCTCTTTAACTCCACTTTCAGCCACCAGAAATCTCCCAGTGAAGATTTCTCCTAAGGATATCAAAGTAAATGATTTTCAATATCAATATTCAAAAGAAAGCATTGTCAGAAAAGGAAAGTTTAAAGCAACAAGTTTGGCTGAAAATAATGTACCTAATAACAGGTCAATAGACCCCCTGAGTCAAACTGTAGACACCGTATTGTTACCATCAAACAACAGTGGTAATGTGGCAACACATTTACAGCCATGTAGCAAATTACATGCAGAAGAATCAACTGTGTTGCCAGTTTCAATTACTAACACTGTAATTGGTATATCAACCTTGGCAATAGAAACAGCAAACTGTGAAAGACAGGATATTCAAGCAAGGAGTATCAGGCAGTCTAATGAAATAAATAATTATATTTTTAATGAAAATAAACCAAATCTAGGATCTTGTACAGCAGAGGTCAAATCAATAAGCATTTTACCAAGTGCAGAGTCAAATAATCCTGCGGTGGAAGTCAGCCAAAATGACAAACTATCCGCTGCTAAGTCGGTCCTGGCTGTAGAGGCTGGAAATTCTGGCAGAGACAACTACACACTGTGTCAAAGAGAGGCTGAGCCCCAACAACAGCTGGAAATTGACTGTGACATAGACCAATATAGATCTACACTGGAAAATACTCACTTTCCACTGTCTGCAAGCAGTTTTGATGCACGCACCACACAATGTAAGAAATTAGAAACTAGAGGCTGCCCCTTCTTGGAGATTTCCAGTCAAGTGGGCTGTGCTAAATCATCATTAGATACCAGCAATGAGCCTGATAATCATGATCAGGCTGAAAGTCCCTCCAGTTCAGATATAAATATTATAGCACAGCAAACAGAATATCCCCGGTTGCTCCACACATTATCCAAATGTGATGGTTTGTCAGAGAAAAACACAAGTGACCGAACTGAATTAGGAGCATCACAATCTGCTGAAATGAATTCAACCAAACCATCCATGTCGAAAGACTTACTAATAAGTCATTTAGATACTACACCAGCATCATCCTGCTGCACTCTTGACACAGAATCTGTCATGTCACTCTCACATGAAAATATCACAGACATTTCAGGAAGTTCTTGTTTATCTGTCAATCAAAATGACCCTGAAGATCAAGGCATAAAAACATCACTAATACTGTCCAAACACGAGGAAGGAGGTGGCACATCTGATTCCAAAGACCAGTATGTATCACATGACTCGATAGGTTCAAAATGTGATTTAATGGACACAGCAGAAGACGTCATCACAGTATCTGAAGCAAAATGTGAACTTGAAAAGGCATCAAAACATTCAGTATTTACTATGTCTTCTTTTTGGAGTGAGATGGAGATGCTGACAATCAATGATATTCTTGGTTTACGAATTATCAGAAATGGTGTTCCACACAGCTCACTCCCACCTCTCAAGGAAAGTGAGGAGACGGACATGTCTGCTATGACAGATTCAGGCATTTTTACTCAGCGTGAAGAGTCCAAGGCTGAACAAACCAATAAAGACATATCCAGTGATCCTAACCCTGCAGAATCAAGTTCTGTTATAGGGGAAGATTCTTCATCTTCAAGTGATGTTATGTGGGAGAGTCTAGAGGCTGATATCTACCCTGAAAATATGATGTTGACATCTGCTGGTGACACTTCTCAACCGGTCTTCCCTGCAGGTTCTCAAACATGCCTAAGACAAATGTCAAAAAATGTAAGCGTTGACAATCTACATGCCCTTAATTATGAGTCTTTCTGCTACAAAAGGAAAGGCCCAACTTTACAAACGGTAGACGAAGGAGAATTCCAACAAGAAGAGCATCACAGTGTTGGACACATGCCTAAGCAAGACAAAAACTTGGACTCTTTATCTTCATTTCCAACAGACAGCTACAAAATGTCTCTCTCAAATATATTTCAGTATGTCTTTGGTGGACAGCCATCAATTCCCAGCCAATCAGCCACAGATAACATCCCCACCTCCTACAGTGAAGGAAATTCTGTCCCTGAAACTTATGATCATTTCTTCTCAGAGTTTGATACAGAAAGCTTCTTCTCCCCTCTCATCACCAAAGACAAGCTGGTTCCTATATTTTCCTACTCTCACTCAGCTACTAGAGATCTGCAGTTCCCAGAGGCCTATGAACACTTCTTTGCATCTTCTTCTTCTGATGATTCTTCTGGGGAATCTGATGGAGAAGATAGCTGCAGTCCTGTGAGGGTGGTGAGCAGATTCAGCCGTACAACTAGCGCCTCTCAGATTTCTACAGACATATATGAACATTTCTTCACTGATGGAGATCTCAGACAGAATTTCTTTTGGAATAACACATTGTCCTTTAGGAATATGAGTTTGACTAAATGCACGGTTCACAAGGAAACTCTCTCAAACCCTCTATCTAGTGTACCTGTGAGTCAAAGTGGCAGATCCATTGGAAGGATAGTTCATCCCATAAATGCTTTGGGAAATCAAGACATCATGTTGGCTGATCCACTTATCCACCACCTGGACAACAGGATCTACACACAACTAAGGCATCAGCCTTTCAGTTTTGAGGACTTACAGACGGCTGTTTCAAATCCAAGTAAGTCAATCTGTGATTAAAACCCTTTCCCCTTTCAAAATATCTCAGATTTGCTATCACGCTTAAATTGATTTAAAGGGGAGCTGCACTTATTATACACATCAAAGTCTGTTTACAGGCTAATGCATATGTGAATAAAAAGTTGTGTAAAGGCTTTCAAATAAAGAATTGCAGTTAAAGACTACAGGTTTGAACATTAAAAAATCTGAGGGTGTGGAGAAAGAAAGAAGTAATCTTACAACAGCCTACTTAACATCTCTGCTTATTGCTCGCTGGTGGCTATCAGTAGTTGCATTGTGGGTAATGTAGGCGAAATGTAGGGTTTTGATGATGAAGAGAATGTGTGTGTAATCAACACAACACGAGGCAGTATTAAATGACTAAAGTTTGCACAATACAGTCCTACAGTGTAAGCAAACAAATGTAAAAATAAATTACTCGTCAACGGGTGATGTTTATTGTTGCCATGGAAAATTAAAATGTTTCCTTTTTTAAGTTCAAATTTCTAGGCTTAAAAGTAGTGTATATCAATCTGAAGACTGGTTTACCACTATTGACCAGTTTCACAGACACAAACAAAGCTTACAGAGATATCTTTGAATTTGAATCATATATACACATTTACTAACTGTAATGTATTTACCTCTATTAGTTCAGCTCTTTTTGCTTTTAGCACACATGGACAGTTGTAATGTAGTATATGTCATCCTCTAAGTCAGCTGTTACAGTCGGGGCATCATATCTCTAACCTCAGCTGTCAGAGGACACGGACGAGACTGCAGGCACGTAACAGTGAAAACTAAGAGGAGTGTGTTGTGCGTGATAACTTGACTTCATTTAATGAGTGTCTTCCCTAAGCTCTCAGTAAAGAGCTCTAGATTTGATTGGCTGCAAAGGAAAAACAAAGTACCTCGACTTGAGGTGTCTATATGTAAACCCCTCGTCTTGAACTTCCACTGAGCTGTAATTAAGATAATAACCTACACGCTACTAATATACCACATCATGTTCAGTAGCTGCCTGTGAGAATGTTCTTTAAGGCCACTAGAGTCATATTATAAGATATCAGTAACAATAATTAGCGTTGTATGTTTGCATTAAAGTAATCTGTGCAGGGGCTAGGATTTGACTGAGTCACATTGTGACAGAACAGGAAATCCCTTCCTATTATCGAGGGACAGTGACAAGTATAATACCCTTGACCTTTTTACTGGACTGCTCTGTGACTGGTTATTTTTAATGTACAATATTTTAAAATGTTTTCCATGATAGGCTGCTTTCACTTTCTTCTTAGGGTTGGATACCTCCCTCCTGCCTCTAAGACAGTCCGACATGTGTCTGGTTTGTATTGCATTTGCTTCGTGGGTGCTAAAGACGGCAAACCCACAAGTTGGAGACACATGGAAGGCTGGTATGTCTGATTATATATAGCATTACATACATTTTTTTCCTTTGGACTCAAAGTCTCATGAGTAAGCTGATTTCTCACTTTTAATATGTAATCTCACACAGTTCTGCTGGCAAATGTAAGTGCTCTGACAGCCATCAGATACCTGCGTAAATACGTCAAGATGGAGGCTGCAACAAGTGAGAAGAAATTGAAGTACACAGCCCCGTCTGATTCTTGATGTGGTTGTGTTGTTAAATGTTTGCATTACATATTTGCACTATAATTGCTTCTAGTTAAGTTGACCCTACCATTGAATGGATATGGGCAAGGGTTTCATTTAAATAATTTGTCTGTTATTTTGACCTTTAACGTCGGAAAGCATAAGACCAGATGTGTATTTTTCAGAAAGAAAGCTCTAGATATGTGTAAATAAGGTTTCAGTATGTGCGTACTGATATAACATATTCCGTTATGTAATTCATGAAGGACATTTTGTGTTCATGTTGATTGTATTTTTTGGGATGGCTGTACAACATTTTCTGATAAAGACTGTTCTGCAAGATGTTGATGAATGTGAGTTTACTACTGTACAGTAAATACTATCTCTTAAGATGCGTGCGATCTCTTATTTTTTACAATAATACTCAGACCTGAAGTTGAAACTTTGAAACACTAGAGGGCAACGTAAGCTCAAGTAAGAACTTGAACTAATACAGCTGAAAAGCTAGTTGCCATTCTATAAATTCATTTTATCCCACAAATATTAGAACAAAATATTAATTATCATAATATGTGTGTTAATAATGTCTTTATTTAACGTTTTTGCTCAGTTTTCACTTGAGATACTGTCCTCTCCAGGATTCATAAATATCTTTCTCCAGCAGATGGCAAAGTTGAGCAATAAAATATAATTTTAAAATGCAGCAGAGCACAACCTATGGAGCTGTATTCTGACAGAAAAAAACACCAAACTGATTAGATTTTTGATGCAATCTTGAAAATAGTTAATGTCATTACCATGCGGGATCTACAGTAACTTAAAATCTTGGCAATTATTTGATGCACCTCCTCTATTTATATACAACAATTTAAACATTAGATAATGTATTTTTGGAAGTATTGGAAAACGAGTTGTGAACAAATGTGTGCATTAACATATCATCATCTGTATGTTGTGATACATATTAATATCATGTCATTTGATACCTGACAGTATAAAAATATGCATTGTTGTAGCAAGTTTAGGAGTTTCATTAGAATAAGAAAAAACAGCCATAAATGTGTTGATCATTTTTTCCAGTTTTATTTTCAAATATAAATAAACACCTCACACAAAAATAAAACAAGGAATCCACACAGGTATCAACACAGTACAGTAGTAGTGCTGGTAATGTCAGCACATAATAAGGCACTCCTTTAAGCCACACATGTTTTCCTTGATAATGTAACATAATAAAATAATAAATATACAACATTTACAAAGATTTACATCGTAAAAAAGCCCTGGTGGAATGCTTTTTATAGATTTAAATACAAACTAAATAAAAAAAGTACAATAAGTAAACTGTACACGTTAGAAAATACTTTAAATATAAAAAAAGGACTGCATAAAGTTGAAACCTTTTGTGCAGTTATGCAAGATATACAAAATGAACATAAACCGTTTTTACACTTGTGTCCTTTTTCTTGGATGCTACATATCAAACATACAGTTGAAGTCTGTCTATCACTTTCATAATGTTTTGTGTTAAGCCTGTTCCTCTTCATTCCTGCACTTTTGTTACTCCGCCTGACTACCCAGCATCTAATAATGCAGTTCATGGGATTTGTTGGTTCATACTGTATGCAGCAGGAGCAACACTGGCTGTGTTAGTTGGCTTTTTATTATCCCTCTGATAGAGATCTGTTGTTTGCACACGTCCAGACGAGTGCCGGGCTATTGTTTTGTTTTATGACCATCTCTGCTGGGTTGCCATGGCACCAATACCTCTGGCCCCAAAGTCTAATCCTGCCAAGTGTGTCGAAATTCCAGACGCTGGCTGAATCATACCAGTATTACAGTCGTACTCCCAAATGTTGTCATAGTCCATTTCCTGGTCATCTGGTTCTGTGGGTTCAAGGTACGAGTGATGATCTATAAGAGCGAGAGAAGATTCACAGGCTTTTAGTTTCAAACAATGCAAGACAAACCTCGTCCCAACGAAATAAACTTGGATACATTCCCAACATATGTATGGCATGATTGGCAAAATATAATCTCACTGTAAAACTAGTAACATTTGTTATGAATGTTCTCTTTCTAATGGTGCAGAAACATGCAACTATCAGACTATTTAATTGAGTCCTAGCACATGTTAGAATAAATCAAAGTCACCTTCAATAGCCAGGTAAGTTTTAGTAGTTTGTTCCATTTTATATGAGTCTTTAGATACACTCGTAACCCTACACAGTTGTGTGCCGTGCATAACAGTGCAGGAGCAAACCCTGTCTGTCAAACAGTGCTCTCTTATACTTGGCTTTCCCCCACATGGGGCATCTGCACAATGGCATTTGGAGCTGCTCTCAGCACCGTTTCATTGGCACATTTCCTGCGTTTCCAATTTAGTAGCCTTTGGCCTTCTGTCTACCTGCTGACAGCCCCAAGAGTTCAATCAGTCCGCAGTGCATACAGTGTTTGATTTAAGGTGTAAAGGAGTGTGAGCTATGCCCTGTGTCCTTGTTGCTATTTTGAAAGGTGGCTGCTAGTGATGGTATTCATAATGCAGACTTGTGAAGAAGTATGGATGCAGTGTTATAGCTGCCCATTGTTTTTCAATAGAAATCTAAATTTAGTTTAGACATGTCAAGAAAAGAAAGCACTGCCTTTTTTCTTCTTCTGACAAGATGGATGATTTTTCTGTCATAACTTATAATCATACTTGAACTCTGCACACAAGCACACTAATAATAAACAGAGGAATTATTGTCAGTTTTATGATTGCATGCCTTCAGTTCTTACCTGGTGAGTAACCACAAGGCATCTGGGAGGTGTTTCTTGCAGAGCTTGACGGGAAGTGAATCTGTGAAAAGATGTGAAAACAATAGAAAGTTACTTCCTGTGATCATGTATAACAAACATTCTCACATTCCCAAAAATATCTGTTTCATCTGTGGCACCTGTTCAAATATTATCTGCAGATCAAGTATATACACACGCTGCTACCATACAGTGCATTGCTGTTGCACTTTGTGCCAAAGCATTCCAGAAACCAGAGTGTTCTGGGAGTTTCTATGTGTTTCTCACCTGCTCTTGAACTTGGCTGGGCACAGGCAGCAGCTTTAGCCTTGACACGGCCTCTGCTCTCTGCTCGGCTTGGCTTTGAGGAGTCTCCATCTCCAGGCCCAGAGCCTGTCCCTGGGAATTGGTCAGGATCAGGCTTCTCCTGCAGCGCCTGCCCATGGGAGGGGTGTGGAGCTGGAAGGAGGAGGGTAGCAGCTGGGGGTCCTGCTGATGGTGGTGGTGCTGAATTGGCTCTTGCCAGCTCTGCTGCTGAAGAACAGAATAAGATGTGTCAGACTATGAAGCTATAAGTAGAGCTGCAAGTATAATTTGATTAGTTGAGGTAATTTGTTATGCAAAAAATTGCTTTTTCAACCAATCCAAATTAAGATGACCTTATAATGATAATAATGACCAACGATAATATGATAATGAACAATCACGATAATTTCCCCATGTAGTAAAATGGATCTTGGAAAAGGGTAAAGCTGCTATGATACATTTTGGTCAAAATATTTCTTATTTATTTAACAAATTGGAATTACATTTAGTAGTGTATGAGCCCTCCCACATTTTTCAGCTCTTTTCTTTACCACTTTTCTGCATCAACAGCAATGTTGTTAACTGAAAGTGTGCATTTGAGGTTGTACACTGCTTTATCTTGTACAGGCGTGTACATGGAGTCTATGGATCCAGTATCATTGACCCACTTACCACTGGTCTGGCCTTATCCAGGGAGTAGATTTCGGGGCTGCAGGGCTCATCGTACAGGGGTGACAAGGGCTGTCGGGGGGCGCACATGTCCGAGTGGCGCTGGGGGGTGTTCAGTGAGACGTTCAAGGATGTCTGAGGGGTGCTCCAGCTGTTGGACTGATCACAAAAGATTCAAAGTTTTAAACACCAAGCGATAAGATGAAAATAAATGTTCCCTCTGTCTCTCTCTCTCACGTAGTTCAAAGAAGGCCATCACATAAGCCACAGTGTATGATCATATTACCAAATACAGGTTTTGGACCCATGCCATGTCATGATCTGCAGCAGTGCTGGTGTGACAGCAATCTGTTGTCTCACAAATCAAATTCAGCTGTCACGGCTGTGTATAAAAACTGAACTCCCAACTGCCATAAGAATATGTGGATACAATTTTCCTCTGATTGGTGGCTAAGTTTTTCATAGACCTTTTATCACTGGTACCATGAAGAAGATTTATCTGTCAACCTCAATCTGCTGAAATGCTTCCATTACCCTGTTTGTTAACACCATTTACATGACCTTTCCAAGCCTACTGGTTGTGCCTATTTTAGTTACTGTTCACATGACATGTAAAATAAGTCAGCACTCTCAAGGGGAATATTAGCAAGTTAGACGCCAGACTGAATTACCTTTACAAGTGGAGCTTTCTCCAGCCGCTGAGGGCTGGCACGATGCAGAGCAGAGTAGGGTGTGCTGTAGACCTGAGATCGCACTGCGCTCTCCGCAGGCTGGAGGTGGGAGCTGCGCTGCGGGGAGGAGTAGCGCAGTGACGAAGGTCGTAGGTCGCGCTCAAGCCTGGTGTGGGAAGACACGCTGTTGTTCCTGCTGCCTAGGCGAGCAGTCTCAGTTGAGGAGGGACGACTTGAGCTGTACTGTAAGGACAGACATAAACACCCAAGGCAAATGTCAGACCAAAGTTTTGTCTTTTAGCTTTTAACTATTTATTCTGTCTTCACCAATAGATATTTTCATTATGTTTTGTTTCTTTGTAAACAGGTCTCCATTAAATTAATTTGGGAGGTCGGTAGTTCAGGTCAGGAGCTGAAAAACATGTCTTCTGGGCACTGAGCCCTCTACACTTAAGGCTAATTGGATTTGTAGTCAGCCTGCATAGCCCCTCTCCCGGGGGAGTTGGTGATAAGTCCTGAAAATGCACAGTGCTTCAGTACTGAAGAGACTGAAGTTTGCAAGAAAACCTTTTTTAAGTTGTTTTAGTAAAACAAATC